AAATTTTCGAGGAAATTTTGAAAAATTCTCATTGGTTTCCGTACATTTCTACCCCACATATAAACCCCTATAATAAGTGAGAAAAATTCCGAGCTCAGTTGAGGAAAGCGAACATATGTTCCAACACCGCTACCAACACAAACAGAAATTTTCCTCACAAAATTTCACCAACACATGTAGTTGACCATGTGCATATTTTCCGCACAGCGAAGATTCCCAATAATACCTCTTCTTGCGCCTCCTCTTCCTCCTCTGCCACCAACTGCACCTTGGACTCATCCCCTTCTCCCACCAACTCCACTGGAGTCATTTCGACATCTTTGCTTGGCTCAGTCGATGATAATATCTACAATACGCTCATCGTCAACATTACCCTATAAAAATGACTACGTTCGATACTCATAAACGTCATATAAATATTCCCACACCTACAATTCAACTCAAAAATAGTAACTACTACAGACATTTACAATAGGCGTACAGTTCTATATTACACTGCGCACAATCCCAGAAAAAACATTTCGGTAAATTTCGAATGTAGTTTGTAATGTGTACCATGTCGAATGTACATTTCGAAATGGTTTACATTATACTACACTATGCATAATACCAGAAAAACAGAAATTTTCATGTAAATGCGGCTGATTTCGGTGCCTTAGTCGAAACATGCGAAAATGTCTGACCTGTAGTCTTCCTTACAAAGAATTTCACAAAATGAGTCTTCGAAAATATTTCCACTTTAAGCTGCTATTACTTTCCCATAAAATTCGGTGGCGAAATCTCAGCTTAGTAGTTTCCGAGAGCGAAGGTTTCGAAATCACCAACACTTGCATGGAAACCCTTGACACTAACATTATGCATGGTGGACTATAGGACTGTACTCCTATATAAAAATACAATACTCGAGCGCTAACGAATAGTAAATCGAATGATATACTATGAACTACTACTACACATTTTCAACCTCAAATTCATAGCAGTAGTATAAACAACTGCTAGTGTGGTCAACGATCGACTTCGAGTCAACTCGAAAATCAATATCGAATTTTTCAACAATATTTCTCCTACTTCAAAATTAAATACTTCAACGCCTTATGCAAACCTTCAACACTGAAAATTCGCCAATCCAATCTCTACCTTCTCTAACGTTTGAGTACACAACACCCCCATGGACGTTTTTCCCCGAGTGAAAACGTCCATACCCCAATAATACCTCCACCGTTTCCCCTTCCTCCTCTACTTCCACCTCCTTCCGCTGCGCTTTCGATGACGGCGACGAGGGCTTACTCTTAGCCGCGACCTTCCTGGGCGGGGACATTTTACTGCTTGATGACAGACAAAACGCACTATGAAAGATTCTTACCGACAATTATTATCATTTTTTTGAAAACAAAAAGCGATCAGCGGAGCTGATATTCTGCTACAATGGATAGGCTACTCTCATTATAGACTACTTTTCCACGACACTATATACCACGAAAATCGTATACGATACGATCTTCCCAACAACAACAACAACTCAACAACAAAGTCTACCACGTCTGAATAAATTATCCGCCAAACTTGAGAAAAGCATATGCTTACAAACACATCTTGCAATATATCATAATCGCTTCGCTCCGCTAACAAAAACGGTGACCTTCCAATACCACCGTAAAAGTCAACAACAAACCAACCGCGACAACCCTCATCATCACGACCGTCCCGAGCAGACGTATCTTTGGCATCCGTGGTTCCTTCGGGGTGACCTGAGATATTCAATCCGAGAAAAACGCCCGGAGGGATGTCCACTACCTCCTCATATACAAATTCTTCATCTCTAGAGATCTAAGATGAGGAAAAATGGCGTATCTTAGGTTGCCAAATGTAAGATACGGATTAGGTCCATTTCTTAGCAAAAATTCGCCCATGAAAAAACGTTCAAACATGAAGTCTATCCTCACGATACAAGAAATTTTAAACAAAAAAACTTCGCTCCGCTACGATGTCACCTCCGAGCGCTTCCTAGCTCCCATCAATCTCGGAGACTGCACGCCCGCCTCTCCTAAACAGAATATCTTAGGTTCAACCATACAAGATTCAAAATAGGTCCGCGCAAGCAACACATGCTTTCAATCATCAACAGGGTATCTTAGGTTCAACCATACAAGATTCAAAATATGTCCGCGCAAGCAACACATGCTTTCAATCATCAACAGATTATCTTAGGTTCAACCATACAAGATTCAAAATATGTCCGCGCAAGCAACACATGCTTTCAATCACCAAGAGGGTATCTTAGGTTCAACCATACAAGATTCAAAATATGTCCGCGCAAGCAACACATGCTTTCAATCATCAACAGAGTATCTTAGGTTCAACCAAGCAAGATTCAAAATATGTCCGCGCAAGCAACACATGCTTTCAATCATCAACAGAGTATCTTAGGTTCAACCATACAAGATTCAAAATATGTCCGCGCAAGCAACACATGCTTTCAATCATCAACAGAGTATCTTAGGTTCAACCATACAAGATTCAAAATATGTCCGCGCAAGCAACACATGCTTTCAATCACCAAGAGGGTATCTTAGGTTCAACCATACAAGATTCAAAATAGGTCCGCGCAAGCAACACATGCTTTCAATCACCAAGAGGGTATCTTAGGTTCAACCATACAAGATTCAAAATAGGTCCGCGCAAGCAACACATGCTTTCAATCACCAAGAGGGTATCTTAGGTTCAACCATACAAGATTCAAAATAGGTCCGCGCAAGCAACACATGCTTTCAATCACCAAGAGGGTATCTTAGGTTCAACCATACAAGATTCAAAATATGTCCGCGCAAGCAACACATGCTTTCAATCATCAACAGAGTATCTTAGGTTCAACCATACAAGATTCAAAATAGGTCCGCGCAAGCAACACATGCTTTCAATCATCAACAGGGTATCTTAGGTTCAACCAAAAAAGATACGAAACATGTACTCACTCAACCGCTTCTTCGCCTTTACCACTATCAACTCCAACGCTTCCCTCAGCTCCTCCCCTTCAGCCTGCGATGTCTACCACAAAAAAATCTTCGCAGTGCGCCGCGCATATCTTTCAAGATACTACCAACCCATCTGCCTTCAAAACCTCCTTTTCAAAAGCCCCCAATTGCTCCATAAACCCGCCATTGGGACTACACTGTGGCCTCATTCGACGGAGCTACAAGCTATACAAATCGATCACGTGATCGATTTCACACCCACCCCTACATGTGCGAACGCCAGTCGTAATGGAATCTTCAACGTCAGCACCAAATATGCCAACAACACTCCGACCGATCTCGACCTGAACACGGTCGAAAAAAATATTCTCCGAATAGAGTCTCGAGCTCAACTATGCAATACACTACGCATACCCTATACATCCATTGCCTATCCTATACATACAATCATTGCCATAGTTGATGACATACATTCAGTGAGAGGGAGGAGAAGCCGTTTCATTTTTCCTATCCACTGGGCGAGCGAGATTGTATCTTCATCACAAACTTACTACTACTATTACTTCCCTGCAAAACAATGAACAAGTATCCTATTCTCGGAATCTTCGCGCTGCGCACATATCATCCACGACAAGCAACTTGGCAGAATCTAAATATATATACTACATGGCTCATACGATCGATTGGCGAAAGCGAAATATTTTGAAAAATTTCCTGAAATTTCCCGAAAAAATTATCACATCAAGAAGGCTCTCCGTATCAGCGTCCAGAAGATCAGCGCACTTGTACGTGAAACAATCCGGATAAAGCGGTCTGAATAAAAATGCATCCGCTCGGAATAGAACCACAGACCTCGCCGATAGAAACCCAACCCCCATCCACTACACCAACAATACCTGATGCCGCTCGCCACGCACAATATGTGGGAGATTCTATGCTGCCTCAATTCCTTCAAATTCATCGCTCCACTCACTGAGCTCACATACAATCTCTCAGTAATTCGATGGAGACCTACCGAAAACCAAAAAACAACATACAAACATCCAAATCTCAGCGGAGCGAAGCTCACCGTTATCACTTTTAACAATCTGCAGCGCACACAAGCTCCTCTGCATAGCCTGCCGCGCCCGCCCATCAGCACTACAAAACATATCCTGAGGAGAATACAAAAACCTTCGCTGTGCGCTCCAGGATATCCTCCCAGAGCTTCGCTCCGCCTTCTTTCCCACTAATTACCTCGTTCGCCCTCATCCCACATCCGACAAGAGAATCTCCAATCGACCAGGCTGCCCCCACTGCTACTGCCATTTATAAAAAAGATGCAAACTTCTTTAGCGGAGCGATGCAACCATCAAAACACAACAAATAGTCAACACTAGAAAAGATCCATTCTAAATGATACGTTACTACAGCCGAGTCGACGAAATTGCACCTTGAAAAAAAACCGAAAATTTCCAAAAATTTCGGGAAAAAATTTCCGCTCACCTTCCCCGCCTCGATCGCGTTGTTGTTGCTCATCGTCTTCCTCGAACTCCCTTCGCTGGTCAGCCACCGCAATGTTGAATAACTTCAAATTCTCTGAGGAAAAAGTCACGCGCCATAAAATCATCAACACACACAGAACTTCCTGTACGACCACGGAAATGTAAAAAGCGCGCGCCCGAAAATAGTTACTACTCGGTCTAGGCTTGAAGCTCCAAGCTACTGCCAGTAGCAGGAGCCACTTGATGAGCCAATAAATAAGAGTGACGGCCCATTCCTCGTACCAACTGAATACGGACATCTGGATGAACAACATAACCGTTGGTTGAATCTGATAACAATAATTTTGTGGCGCGCGAAAAAAACAATCCAGCAAGACCTACTATGAACAGCAGAAATGCAACCCTAAAAGCAGAGTACGCGTAAAACCGCTGATACATCCTTCCTGTGTCCAGACTAATACCAGCCTCTCGAATCTGAAATCGATCATCAGGGCGCGCGCTTTTTACATCGCCCATCCACACCTGATTGTTGATGACCGCTAGATGGAAGTTGACGGCTACTATGATGCAAAGGTAAGCGAGTGAATGAAGGATGAGTCGAGAGAGTCGGTAACCCGCACAGACTTGCTCGGACGTGCAAGTAATTTCGAAGAATCCGAGATACCTAAGGTTGGGCCTATTCTGAATCTTGCCATGGGCAACCTAAGATTCCTCCTACATCGACACGGTGGAAATGACTCCAGCAAATCTAACCTCCGTTCTGTTCAATCTCGGTCGTGAGGTCTGCCATCCCAAAGCCGTTAATAAATACCTGAAAAACGTCACCTCTGGGAATCGAACCCGGGCTGTGGATCGAGTACACTACATCATCAACTCTAATATATCATAGATCTTCTGCGACAACTGCGGCAGCCACCTGGCCGTCAGCGTGTTGGGGTTGCCAGTGACATCCTGCTCTTTCAGAGACCGGTACCTGACGAGAATTCAAATCCTGAATTGCGACCATTTCACCCGGGTAAAAACGTCCAACCCAAGCAACCCTACCATAAACTGAAGTAGAGGGACATCCACAAAAGCACCGACAAATGGAAGACATGCAGCAACGTATAATACCTGGCAACAGAGCATGCCACCAATCGGACCTAATTCGTATCTTCCACCCTGGAACCTAAGATACTACCTCCGCCAAGCACTAGCCATGAAGCCGTAATACAATACGGCTGAGGCAACAACCGCCGTCGCCAGGCCCAACACACATGACGCCAACGGCAACAACTGGTAACTAACATTGATACAACAAAATCGATCATCAGGGCGCGCGCTTCTCGTAACCTCACTCTAACTGACGCCCATCGGCTTGTTCGAATCGTACACTCCCGAGCAACTGTAATCTCGGTTGTTCGAACTGCCCACTGTTGTCGAGCGTATCTTAGGTTCAAGACGATAAGATTCAAAAAAGGCCCCCAGTGCGTAATATCA